AGACATCCAAAACAGCTGAGATAAAGGAATCCAGTAAACTCTATGAGCTTATGAGAGAGAAAAACAAAACAGTGATCCTACAATGGATTTCTGGTCACTGTGGCATAAAAGGCAATGAGCTTGCTGACACACTTGCTAAGAAGGGGACCGGCCGATGTCTTTCCACACAATGAAGACCTTAATCAAACCGGTTGCTAAGAGGGGGACTACGATTTTGCAATGCATGGACCGTCCGATGTCTTTCCACACAATGAAGGCCTTAATCAGAAGAGTATTCCAGAATGTCTTTCCACACAATGATGGCCTTAATCAGGAGAGAATTACATTCAAGGACACCAATGAAGGCCTTAATCAGAAGAGAATTCAAGACCTCAAGAATGAAGGCCTTAATCAGGGGAGAATTCCAAATCAGAAGAGAGTTCAAGACCTCAAGGTGCAACGAACTTGAGCTCGAACAAATGAGAACAAAGGGGAAACAGTGGACAGTGGCACTCTCCCGATCAGAAGAGAATTCAAGATCTCAAGGTGCAACGAACTTAAACAACAAAAGAGAAACAGTGGACAGTGGCACTCTCCGACATAGCCGACTACGAGAATCGAAGCCGTTGCTGAGTTTAGACTACGTATCGGACAGGATTGCCCCGTTGATGAGTTTAGACTACGTACCGAACACGATTGCCTATCAAAACACCTTCACAGATTGGGAGTATACACTCAACTCACATGTACACCTTCACAGATTGGGAGTATACACTCAACCCACATGGACCTTCACAGATTGGGAGTATACACTCAACCCACATGCCCCCTTCACAGATTGGGAGTATACACTCAACCCATATGCCCTTTCACAGACTGGGAGTATACACTCAACCCACATGCCCTCTGCACAGATTCGTACCGGACACGATTGCTTGACAAAACACCTTCACAGATAGCCGTTGATGAGTTTAGACTACGTACCGAACACGATTGCCTATCAAAACACCTTCACAGATTGGGAGTATACACTCAACTCACATGTACACCTTCACAGATTGGGAGTATACACTCAACCCACATGGACCTTCACAGATTGGGAGTATACACTCAACCCACATGCCCATTTCACAGACTGGGAGTATACACTCAACCCACATGCCCTCTGGATTGGGAGTATACACTCAACCCACATGCCCCCTATGTAGCCTGGGAGTATACACTCAACCCACATGCCCTCTATGTAACCTAAGAGTATACACTCAACCCACATCCCCTCTATGTAACCTACAGGAGGAAATGGTATACACTCAACCCACATACCCTCTATGTAACCTACAGGAGCCATTGCCTGGCAAAACACCTTCACAGATTGGGAGTAAACACTCAACCCACATGCCCTCTAATACAGGAGGAAATGGTGAAGACCCACCTGATTCGGTGTCCGGCCCTAAAGACAATTACGGAAAGCCGGAGATACGGGGAAGCAAGAAGACAGCTAATGAATTGCTATTGATTAATTGCTATAAATGTATCCACCCCCTTCTTGGGGGAAGCTGAAGTCA